ACGCTCGCCCCGTCCGGCTCCGGCGCGAGGAGGAGCGTGCTGCCTGCCGAGACCCACCTGGACCGGGGCTCTTTCTGTTCCTGTCAGATTTACGGGGTTGTTTTGGGGTTTTTTGTTGTTTTTTTTTTGTAGCTTGTGGTTTAACCTTTAGCTGTTTTTTTAAAAGAAAACAACACATTTTCGGGCTGTAGGTGAATTCACATTTACCCCCAGCTCTGACACCCGGATTCGTGCGAAGTGTTTTGCTCTGCTGCGGCCGGGAAGCGGGGCCAGCACCTCCGCTTGCGACGGCTCGTACCGGATCCTGCCCAAACACCACGGCGGCGGTCAGCGAGGAGACCCGTCTGCGTCCACACACGCCGTTCCCCTGCCCGGTCCCAGCCCGGCAGCTCAGCCAAGCCGCAGGCAGATCCGGGAGTCCAGGAGCCACCGTGGATTTCACCACCGAAGCTCCGGGTTAGAAATCAATCCGGAGAAGGCGATGACAAGCGCAAATCTCTCCTCCCGGCCCTCCCCAGGCAGCAGCATTGTCGCAGAGCAGCTGAATATTGGTTTACTCCAGTCCCAAGGGAGGCGAGGATGCCACTAGCCTCCGAGTACGAACACAAAAATGCGCGTTAGGAATTCACTCCTCCAATCGAGCAATTTAGATGCGAGAGCCTCGACTCCAAAGTCCATTATGTCTCATTAATCTCCATCACTCGCGCAGCTTTTAAAGTTAAGAGTTCCTCAAACGGCTCAGTTTTGTTACTCCTAAATAAAACAACAACCCAAACCCCGGCGTGCGTTTGCGCTTCGCAAAGGTCCCCTGACGGCAGCGCTGGGATCGGGGTTGGCTTTCCAAGCCGGGAAGCTCCGCATGGATACCCTGAAGTTATTTCCCCAGGATCCAGCCTTCCCCCTCCCCGCCTCAGCCTGCGTTTCGGGGCTCTGGGGACAGGCAGCAGGGGGACAGCAGGACACGCAGCAGACTGGGACCCGGCCATCGCCCAACCGCGCCGAGTCGGCTCCCTGGGGACACGGGGACCGAGCCGGCCCCCTGCCCACACGCTCGGCAGGGCAGGGCGC